CAGTAGAAAGTAATTTTAGCTGTTTGAGTCTTCTTTGGCAAATTGATGGAATGTTCCCAGCTCCCGTCGGGGTGAAGACCAGTCGGCTCTGATAGCAGAACCAGAGGGTCAAGTGCACGCACCTACATTGTGTGGGAGATCAGCAAGCTGGGAACAGGCGAGAAGGAGGTGGAACAAGCTGGGGAAAAACCGGGAAGAGGGGGAAAAGCTTGACAATGCCTCACGGCTGTCAAAGGTTTTATCTTGTTTTATCACTAAGTAACGTCAACACCTTGTTCGTAAACTTATCATCATCATAACTTCTCTAATCCCAGGTGCTCAGTTTTCTAGCTGAAGCATCTCATCACTATCATATCATCAGCCGGTCACTGTTTGTGTAAACACTACAAGATGACGAATGTCATATACATGATTGTTAGTAAATAAAGCTGTATGTCAGGTTTTATACTACATCGTTTATTAAATTCCAAGTGTATTTAGTCTTACCTGTTTAACTCAAGTGTTAGAATAACATTTGGTTGGAGCTCTTTAAAACTTCTTTACCAGGAGGGGGTTACCGGGAGGGGTCACCTGCCCTGTCTAACTGCTTATTACTTAAAGTAATCTAGACATCTAAAACCCCTTTCTTTCTCCTGTGGGTACCAAGTGCAGCTGTTGTGTATATACACGACGAGTCAAATATGGCTGTTTTTTTGGATATCCAGGACTTTGTCTATCAATATAGCTTGGATAATAGTCCAGTATCTATGGTGGAGGTGAAGTGTTGAGAGGAAAATTCCTACTCATCACAAAAGCATCTATCCACTTCGGGACCCGCGACAATGTGTTAGATGAGAGGAGGAAATAATTTGAAGAATAATATAAAAATGTGCTCCTGGAACTCATCTTTACTCCAAGCTTTCAAGAGCTCCAGCAAAGATGTTCTTGGTGAATGGAAACCGCAACCCAACCTAAGCTGCTCAAGTAACAAGAAAAAAAAGTTTGTTAGGCGGGGACAAAGACCTGCTGTGTTTTAGCCCGGTCAGGATATCTTGTGTATGAATAATTAGCAGCAACAGTAAAGTTAGGAACGCTGATTAAATAACAGCAATGTAAGTCAACAGAAACTTTTTTTTTCCTCAATGAACCGTTGCTACACCGGCAATTTACATAAAACAATTTATGATGACACACTAAGTGAACAATTAACTACAAGAAAACTGCTAGTGAATCATCAACAAGATTAAATGTCAACAACTGGTAAACCAATGAGTAACAAAATACTGACAATTGCTAGCATACCAGCGACCAGGTAGTACAATTATCTTTAGAAAAACAGACATATGAATCCCTGTCCACTTCAACATGTACACATGCGCATATTAGTTAGGTACCTTTGTTTCTTCCGATCTAGGCATCTTGTGCTAAATATCATTTGCGAAAGAAGTAATCAGTGCCATTTAGCACCATCAATTGTCAGTTTAAACACCATTTACGATGAAGATTATCAGTGCCGATGTAGCACCACCTACCCTAGTGTACAGGTCCAACTTCCAGGCTGGAAACTCATGAGCACCATAAGATATGCAACACCACTCACAATAATAGCAATGGTCTATAAATCACACTATACTGTGTTAAACAACAGCACACAGACATCTAATAATCATCTAAAATAAAATTTCCAAAACTTCGCATCAAGTAGCGGCTGGCATTATGCTGACCACCTCGCCCACCAAGTGCTGACTGATCAATAAAATATAAGTCTAGCCCTATATGTCTAAAAGTATGGAAAAGGATCCTTTTACTTGTTAATGCTTCACATCAAAACCCCAATGGTTAGGAACTGACTGATCATTAATGATATTAATAATCATAGGTTGACGAGTACGTGCATGCTTTTAACTCCACCTGTTATACTATAACGAATATTACAATGCATTATTTAAATTATAACCACTGTTCTACAATCGCCTATGCCTGTTGCTTAAACTTTAAAGTATTTAAAAACTGCATGAGAATCAATCTTTTAACTAAAAAATCACTTAAAATTTATAACATGGCAGGTAACTGTTACAAGAACCATCTAAAAAGTAATTGCTACATTTAGAAGCACTACTTAACTTAGATGCATGCCGTCTGTAGCAGGGCTCGCCATGTCAACAGGGCTCAAAGAATCACCATCTGATATGTCTCAAGTCTTTACTAGCTATATGTGTTAAACCTCGTTGTGGTTTACTAAGATAACTTGAAATAATGTAACAAATTTAATCGTTACTTGCCTGTAAATATCACGTCTAAAAGTTAATGCTTTCACAGTGACAGATCCCAACCTCAACCCCTCCCCCCCTCTCTCCCCTCCCCGCCCGTCCCACCGCCATTAAACATCTCTTAGCTAATGTGATCTTCTCGCTACATAGTTTCCTACTGAGACAGACATGTAATGAGTTATTTACAGAGACAGAGGCATGTGACGAGTTATTTACCAAGAGAGAGATATGTGATGTGTTATCTACTGAGACAGACATGTGATCTACCGAGACAGGCATTTGATGGGTTATCTACTACGGCAAAAAAAACATGTTGTGAAGCATTTGCAGAGACAGATACTTGTGATGAGTTATCTACTGAAACAGATACTTGTGATGAGTTATCTACTGAGACCTCTAGTGTATGCACAATACCAGTAACTAGTGTCTGTGTGATAATGTACCAGAAACTATATTCCTGAGATAATGTACCAGTAAGTAGTATGAGTTGAGTTATGAGTTAGATTATCTTCACAGCATTCCGGACACATACATGGGCGCTCATATTCCCCTCTCAACATATTCATCAGCGTCGTGCGGTTAATTGTGCCAGTCCTATGTTGGTTAACAAGACTTCGTGTGCGTCCAGGGTGCTTCTCATGCTTGGCTGTGCTGATCTTTACTCCCAATTGGAGTATTCTCAGCAATGATGTGGACACGTTGCTTCCAAAATCTTCAGAACGACCTAACTCTCTAAGGGCAATGACAACGTCTGCGTGATCCATGGGCCGGCCATCTTTAATTAATGCAGCACCTGCCAGTCTATCAGCTCTCTAATTACAAACAACGCCCGCATGCCCTGGGACAAATATGAAGGTATCTGCACACCCAGGAAAGTTTTGCAATGACTCAAACCACTGTCTGCGTAACCAGCCTGCCTCGACCCGTTGGATCATGCTCAAAGAGTAACTCAACACACACACGCGGGATTAGTCCTGTGATTTTAGCCCCATGAAAGCTTGTGTCACCGCCATCACCTTCATCATCATGCTGCTGGTAGTCATGAAGAAGGCACCGCTGGCTTCTTGAACTCTTCTGCCTGAAGAGCGAGCTGTAAATGCCCATGCACTCTTATGTCCTCGTATAACGGACCCGTTTGTGAAGATCACCACATCTGTCTCATCTGACTTGTCACTGATAAGCGCGCATACCTCGGCATTGACAGCGGCTGGATTCTGCTCCCGACAATTTCTATCGAGTGTCACGATATAAGAGAATGTGAGATTTGGTGCTTTAGATGCTGGTATCCATTCCTCACCTGGATGGGTGTCTGTAAGGCTGCAAACCTGCATGATGTCCTCTGCCCTACCCAGCCATGATTTGCACCTTTTAAGCATATTGCCTTTTTTTTTTTCTTGAAAAGCATGTGGTTGCAAAGGGTGTTTCAGATCTGAGCTTATCTTGAGGTATGCACAAGCTCTCCAGATCTTGATCCTGTAGGAAGTCAAGAAAGTACCTCATGGCTACACAAGAGGTGTTTCCAGTGCACCCCAGAATAATGCGCAAGTCTTTTAATTTGAGTATGTCAGTGAGGATCGTAAGAGCAAATTCGAAGGGAGAAAGTACAAGTTCCTAGAACACAGACAGAAGCAGTCTGTGCTCAGCGGCGACCAGGACCCTCATTGCTGACAGACCTTTTCGTGCTTTTGTTATGACATGGTCAACATGTTCTTTGAAGGACAGGCTGCGATCAAACCTTACTCCGAGTTTTGTTATCACATTTATTCTCGTCAAAATTTCCTCGCTGCTTTCCACTACTGACAAGTCTGCCTTCACTATATGAGTGTTCAATGAGAACCAAGTTAATTAGGCCCTCGAAAGGTTGACATGGGCATTAGAAAGAGTAAGTAATATATGTGTGAAAGTGCACAAGTAAGTGATACATGTGTAGTAACTAGCTGTACCCGGCCACGCGTTGCTGTGGCCCAAAATGGTGAAATGGAAAAAAAAAGAAAATAGCTCTCATCTAACAGTGTCTGTCATACCACCCCCCCCCTTTCCTCCCCCATCGACCCGTTCATATCTCCCTCCCTAAAGGATTGAAAAATCTTCCCTGGCGAAATTATTTTTTTTAAAATTGTTAAGAAATTAGAACTTTAAAATAATGTTTTAAGCTCTCTCAGTTAATAGTGTCTGGCATCAACCCCCCCCCCCTTACCCCCCCCCCACCTCCCCCACTAATCATATCATCCTCTCCTAAGGATGGGAAAGTCATCATCTAGCTTGGTATCTGTGTCCACCAAGGCTAAAATGGGTAGCTAAAATTGTGATCGATGTTGTAAAGCTAACATAAACTGTTTGTTTTTTCTCACCAACTTTTTCTCTTCCCTATAATTTCCTACCCCTTTAAAAACTACCTGTGTAATAATGAACCATTAGTGTTACATGTGTGATAATGTACCAGTAAGTGATACCTGTGTGATAATTTACCAGTAAATGACGCCTAAGTGATAATGTACCAGTAGGTGATACCTGTGTGATGAAGTACCCGCAAGTGATACCTGTGTGACAATGTACCGGTAATTGATACCTGTTTGATAATGTACCATTAATTGGTATCCATGTGCCAGTGCGGGTATTTCTGAATTATCATTTTCACGTGATTTATGTTTTAGTGTGTGGAATTTCCTCTGCTAGTGTTACTTTTTTTCCAACAGAAACTGCCACAACAAAGCGAGTGCTTGTCCCTTTGTTGGTGACGCTACTATCAGGATGTCACTGATTGGTAGATTTCTTGTTTTTAAAACAGCCAAAATATTGCCGACTTTGTTGATCTTTGCTGCTATGGTGATTGTATACTGTCTTACACACAAGAAAATGTTACATTCCACTTGGACGCTGTCGTCTTTAAGATCAACGTGGAGACAAAAGACATTGTGTCTTCAGGCAGCAGAAAGTTCGGAACACCAAGGAAAATATGAGTGCAAAGACTACTCCCCAAAAATGTCTGGCAAGTGTCATGTTTTAGAACTGTTTACACGCATCGACCCAACTGCTAGACATTATGACTCGGAAATTATCTGTGACCAGGCCTCGTCCAACTTTGATCTCATCTGTCGTTTGCATCTCAAACAGATCGGTCTACAATCTCAACAGTCCACAATCTGCTGCCTAGACAAAGTGGACAAAGTTCCCAGGATTGTCTATTATGTTATTTTTGGAGTCTATCAGTTTCGACTGGTACACTATATCTCTCTCAGGGCAACCAGTCGATTTATCGCTCCATCAGCCATCTACGTTGTCGGAGACCAACATCCCACGGGCAAGTGGTGGCGAAAGGTGCTGGCAGAAGTTCAAGGAGTCAGGTACAGTTATCTTTTTCTCACTGCTTTATCTGTTCCTATCTTTAGATATGCAGACCTGCATGTGTTGATTTGCAACTTTTCTGTGGTTGTGTCCCAACTGTCCCTTGTTCTATGGTTGTGCTCCTATTGTTTCTGGTTGTGCCCCTACTGTCCCTTGTTCTATGGTTGTGCTAATATTGTTTCTGGTTCTTTGGTTGTGCTCCAACTATTCCTGTTTCTATGGTTGTACTCCTATTATTTTGGGTTCTATGGTTGTGCCGTAATTTTTCTTGTTTCCATGGTACTTCTACTCTTTATGGTTCCATGGTTGCCCTCCTACTGATTCTGGTTCGATTGTTGTGCTCCTACTATTTCTGGCTCTATGATTGTGCTTCTACTGTGCTTGGATCTATGGTTGTGCTCCTACTGTCGATAGTTCTATGGTTGTGCTGCTATTGTCAATAGTTCTATGGTTGCGCTGCTACTGTTAATAGTTCTATGGTTGCGCTGCTACTGTTAATAGTTCTATAGTTGTGCTCCTACTGTCGATAGTTCTATGGTTGTGCTCCTACTGTCAATAATTCTATGGTTGTGCTCCTACTGTCGATAGTTCTATGGTTGTGCTCCTACTGTCGATAGTTCTATGGTTGTGCTCCTACTGTCAATAGTTCTATGGTTGTGCTCCTACTGTGCTTGGTTCTATGGTGGTGCTCCTACTGTCAATAGTTCTATGGTTGTGCTCCTACTGTGCTTGGTTCTATGGTGGTGCTCCTACTGTCAATAGCTCTATGGTTGTGCTGCCACTGTCAATACTTCTATGGTTGTGCTCCCACTCTCAAAAGTTCTATGGTTGTGCTCCTGCTGTAAATAGTTCTATGGTTGTGCTCCTATTGTGCTTGGTTCTATCTTTGTGCTCCTACTATCAATAGTTCTATGGTTTTGCTGCTACTGTCAATAGTTCTATGGTTGTGCTCCTACGCTCCTAATGTTCATAGTTCTATGGTTGTGCTGCTACGGTCAATAGTTCTATGGTTGTGCTCCTACGCTCCTAATGTTCATAGTTCTATGGTTGTGCTGCTACGGTCATAGTTCTATGGTTGTGCTCCTATTGTAAATAGTTCTATGGTTGTGCTCCTACTGTGCTTGGTTCTATCTTTGTGCTCCTACTGTCGATAGTTCTATGGTTGTGCTCCTACTGTCGATAGTTCTATGGTTGTGCTCCTACTGTCAATAGTTCTATGGTTGTGCTCCTACTGTCGATAGTTCTATGGTTGTGCTCCTACTGTCAATAGTTCTATGGTTGTGCTGCTACTGTCGATAGTTCTATGGTTGTGCTCCTATTGTTAATAGTTAAATGGTGCTTCTACCGTCCATGGTTCTTTGGCTTTGTGCTCCCACTGCTCTTTGTTCTATGGCTGTGCTACAATCATCCCAGGTTCTATGGCTGTGCTACAATCTTCCCAGGTTCTATGGCTGTGCTACAATCATCCCAGGTTCTATGGCTGTGCTACAATCATCCCAGGTTCTATGGCTGTGCTACAATCATCCCAGGGTGGCGCTCTTACTGTCCCTGGTTCTCTAAATGACCGAATAAAAAGCTTACTGGAGTAACCAGATGGTGACACTATGACAATATAATTCGTTTGTTCTCGTTTCCTTGTTATGCGCCTACTAATCCGATTTTCTGGTTGTGTGCCAGTTGCTTGCTGTACGGTGTTTGTGTGTGTGTGTGTGTGTGTGTGTGTGCGTGCGTGTGTGCGCGCGCGCGTGCATGCGTGTGTGTGTGTGTATGTCCTTTTATACAAGACTTGAATGGTGCAGTGTTTACACGAGCCTCTGCAAAATACCCTTGTCATGCGATGCCTTCTGTTGTTTCCACTTGAAGGTTCTTATTCCGAGAGATTCCAGGCAACATCTCGGGGCTACCTGCTGACATCAAGCATCTCTCCGACATTGTCCGGCTCCAGCTTCTCTACATGAACGGTGGTATCTACCTGGACACAGACACAGTTGTACTGACAGATCTTCAACCCCTTCTAGGTGAGTTATCTCTGGTGATATTTGTTCATATGTTAACACTGTACTGAGAGATCTTCAGCTACTGTTGATCATAAAGTATGTGTATTTACTAGGGCCGTACCGAATAGTGATTTTCACTATTCGGCCGAATACGAATACGGGGACCAACTATTCGGCCGAATGCGAATAGTGTATCATCATCATCAGGGGCCTTGTCGACTGGCGGGAGCGATTATGCCTCGCCACAATCTGCTATCTCCTGCAGCATTTATTAGTTCGTGTGCTGACACACCTCCATGCCATGCAACAAGACTGTCCTGAATCTTCTCTTGTTGTCTTCCTCTATCCCTCCTTCCACATATCTTTCCAGTGGTCACCACATGTTCCATTTTCCCTCTTCTCATAACATTGTCAAAAAATGATGACTGTCTCCTTCTGATGTCTGTGATTAGTTGTCTTCGGGCTCCCGCCTCTTTCAAAACCTCTTGGTTTTTTTTTTTTTTTTTTGGCAGTCCAAGGTATTTTAAGCATTGTTCTGTAAAATCACATCTATGAGGCCTCAAGAATTTAAAAAATAAACGGTGTCGATTTTATGTTCAGTTGTCTGATGAAACTGGTGAAAGTGTTTGGATGAATTTGACATTATACCCTTTTTATATTTATTTTTAAGAATTCTCTCTATCATGGATGACCCTCCCTGAAGAGATATAGCGCGGCTTTCAAAGATTTCTTAACATTCATGTACAAAATCAGAATCATTGCATTCCTGATGACTCTTTAATTTGGACGGAAACAAGCAGCCGTTAGGAACACTTCTATGCCAGTTGACATATTGTCCTTCCGGTGCCTGTTCGTTCTCAATCGAAACAAAGCCCAACAGGAATGAATGCAGCCAAATTCGCACTTAAATTATCTTTCGCTCGGCCGTTCGTTCGAAGTAATTTGTTTGTTTGTTTTAGTATCCAGAAGCCGTGAGTTGTTAACCCTAAGGCTCTGTATTATGGATATCGCAACCTTTCGGCCTTGATTCTATTGTAAATACTGTAAATATGGGAGAAAATGTGGCTTTCCTGATTACCCCCGGGATTGAACCTGGACCACAGGAGTTCGTCACCCGGTCTCAGCGCAATCCGGTTTAGCCAACTACGCTAGAGAGCCGAGCTTCGATGTAATTTAAACGCACCTTCATATTCTCGCTAGCAATATATTCAAATTTCATTTGGGCAAAGACACCCTGAAAAGAACGAAAAAAAATGTGTGATCTCTCTCTCTCTCTCTCTCTCTCTCTCTCTCTCTCTCTCTCTCTCTCTCTCTCTCTCTCTCTCTCTCTCTCTCTCTCTCTCTCTCTCTCTCTCTCTCTCTTTCACACACACACACGCGCGCGCGCACAACAACAACAACAACAACAACAAAATAAAGTATTGCCGTTAAATATAATTGCTTACTTGACGAGGCTAACAGTTACTATTGTACAGACCACATTTTCCACTTTAAAATTTCAGCCAAAATGTAATCGCAACCTTACTTATCCGCTGCACCTTCACGGATACAGATGGGGGATCGGTCGCACCTCGAGATAAATACAATTTTAACATGCTGCGGTTGGCATTTTATGCAGTATGATACACTTTGAAAGTAAAACAAGGGAAAAAAAACTCTTTTCGACAGTGGCGAGAAAGACAATTTCAATAGTAACTTTTAAGTAACTTCATGCCTTCTTTAATAATGTCACAATTTATAGCCGATTTTTCTTGATTTTCGCCGCGGCACACCTGGCATACGCATCCAGTTTGAGAACCTCTGCTGTAATGCCTTGTTTGAGTCAGCAGGCAAAGACCTTGCCTGCTGCTGTACCACGCAACCAGGTCGCAGTTTTCCCTGCTACGACAGACTTAGGCAACAGCAACTATTGTGTTAATGAGAGAGTTATTTCAGTCCATCGCAGTGTATGCAGAAACGAGTGTAAGGTAACCACTGTTTGTATTCGGCCCGACCGCAAGTATTCGGCCGAAAACCGAATAGTTATTAGATCCACTATTCGGCTCCGAAGCGAATACGAAGCGAATATTCGGTACAGCCCTAGTATTTACAATTATAGCCGATAATAGGGTCTGACTGATCACATGGTCACAGATCTTCAAATCTGTTCACAGTGTCATTTATCCTCAAGTCTGGTTGTCCACACAGCTAACTCTTACATCGAGAGATCTTACACCGCCATATATTACACTGATGTCTTAATTGTAACTGACTCACAGAGCATGTTGATAACGGTGGCCACACACATGCTCTGTGTAGACTGGCAAGCATCACGCAATACCCAGGTAATTAGTATCCTTTGGATATTTTTTCCGGGCATGCCGGTGTGTTGGGAAATGAGCAGGCAGATAGAATGGTCGGCTCTGCATCACTTGGTGGTGAATAGATGTATGACGAGCTAGATGTTGTGAGAGCCCTTTGGGAGCGAGTGAACAGTGCGGAGGCACAAACTGATCATTACACTATTATGAGAATGGCGATACGATGAGTTACCATGGGATCTGGCAGACGCTCCAAACTCAGAAGAAGGGCGAGACATATAAACAATCAGACAGTTACTAGTGTCATCGGAATTGGAACTTTTCACTCGCTGCTGAAAATGAGGACGAAGTGCTTATAGGAGTGTCCCGAGTGCTGTGATGTCGATTCTTAATTCAACATTCAACATTTATATCTTACACTGACTTATCTTACACATACATATGTTAAACTGACAGATCTTATACAGTTAAGTCTTACATTAATAGAACTTACACCGACAAATCTTACACTGACAGATCTTGCATTCCTATGCCTTACACTAAAAGGCATTAACAGAGCAAAGTCTTACACCGACAGATCTTACACAGCCATGTCTCACACCGACAGATCTTACACAGCCATGTCTCACACCGACAGATCTTACACAGCCATGTCTCATACCGACAGATCTCACACGGCCATGTCTCATACCGACAGATCTTACACGGCCATGTCTCACACTGACAGATCTTACACTAACAGGGGTAATAAAACCATATCTTACACTGACAAGCCTTACATTGATATATGTTACACTGAAAGAGCTTACACAGCCATGTCTTACACAGACAAATTTTACAATAACAGATGTAATAAAGCCATACATTGATATATATTACACTGACAGATCTTACAGGAACAGATCTTACACCGACTGATCTGTCACAGCCAAATCTTACATCGACAGATGTTAGGCAGCCATGTCTTACTCTGACAAATCTTACATCAACAGGTGTAATACAACGATGTCTTGCACTGACAGATCTTACACTGACAGACCTTGCACTGACAGACATTACACTAACAGATCTTGCACTGTCATATCTTACACTAACAAATCTTAGAATAACAGATCCTACACCGACTGATCTGTCACGGCAAAAGCTTACATCGACAGATGTTAGGCAGCGATGTCTGACACTGACAGACCTTATATTAACAGATCTTACAATGACAGACCTTACATTAACAGACCTTACACTGACTGATCTTAGTTTTACACTGACAGATCTTACACTGACAGACATTACACTAACCTACTTTTCACTGACAGCCATGTCTTACTCTGACAAATCTTGTATGTATGTATGTATGTATGTATGTATGTATGTATGTATGTATGTATG